TAACCAGGCCAGAGGCAGCGCAGGGTGCTTCGTTATTTCTTTTTGTTCTCACAACAGCCCTGGTAACGTTGTTATTGCTTCCAGCCCACATAGGAGCCTCGAGGTTCAAAAAGGATAAATAACGTGCCCAAGGTCATATGCCACCTTCTAGACAGAGGTGTGTAACCACCAAGCTGCCCAAGCCTGGAGGCGGAGTTTCTCTCCCTGTCTGTGCCAGGGCTGGCTCCAGGTGCCCTGGCTGCAGCAGTGGGTGGGAGAGGAGAACTCTGGCTCCACCCTGGAGGCCCAGAAGCACTCAGTCAAACCCAGTACCCAAGGCCCTTCCATAGCACCTCAACTCCTGCTAGCGCTTTACATGTTACAGAGCCTGTTTACCCATATTATCGAATGGATTGTTTCAATAGCCCTGTTTCCACCCATTTAACAAAGGAGCGGTCAGGAGAAATTTGTGGGCCTGCTTAGGGAATCACACAGGTGGGAAATGGCAAAGCTAACCTTGAGCCCATGCCAGTCCCCCACGGCTGCGTTCAGAACCCTCTGGAGAGAAACCACACACTATCCTTTTCACCTCAGTGTGTGTGTGTATTCCCCAATTCAAAGAGCAGGCTTATTTTTTAATTTTTCATTTTTCATATCTTGGTAACACATGATTAAAAATTCAAAACATTCTGTGCAGAAGAATTCCAAATAAGTCCATCATGTATGCAGACAGCCCACCGCCAAGAAGATAGAGCACAACTCCCCACTCCCTAAGTGAGGGCTTCGTACCGTGACTTCCCAAAGAGCACAGCATAGGAAGCAGGGACGAACAGTCTCCTCCCTAAACGGTGTGGGCAGATTGGACAGGTGCATGCAGAAACATGCAACTAGACCACCAACTTACACCCTACAAAGCAATAAACGGAAAATGGATAATAGACTTGAATGTAAGTCTCAAAACCATAAAAACTCTAGAGGAAAACATAGGTAGTAAAATCTCAGACATCTCACAGAGCAATATTTTTGCCAATGTGTCTCTGAGAGCAAGGGAAACAAAAAGAAAAATAAACAATGAGACGATGTCAAACTAAAAAGCTTCTGCATAGCAAATGAAACCATCAATGAAACAAAAAGGGAACCCACTCTATGGGAGAACATATTCACCAATGATTCCTCTGATAAGGGGTTAATTTAAAAAATATATAAAGCACTTATACAACTCAACACCAGGAAGACAAACAGTCCAATTAAAAAATGGGGAAAGGACCTGAATAGGCACTTTTCCAAAGAAGACATAGAGATGGCCAATAGACATATGAAAAAATGCTCAAGGTCACTAATCATCAGAGAGATGCAAATTTATTTATTTTTTAAAAAATATATTTTATTGATTTTGTACAGAGAGGAAGGGAGAGAGATAGAGAGCTAGAAACATCGATGAGAGAGAGTCATCGATCAGCTGCCTCTTGCACACCCCCTACTGGGGATATGCCCACAACCAAGGTACATGCCCTTGACCAGAATCGAACCCGGGTCCCTTCAGTCCCCAAGCCGATGCTCTATCCATTGAGCCAAACCGGTCTCGGCGAGAGATGCAAATTTAAACTACAGTGAGGTATCACCTCACACCTGTCAGAATGGCTACCATCAATAAATCAACAAGCAACAAGTGCTGGTGAGGATGTGGAGAAAAAGGAAGCTAGTGCACTATTGGGAGGAATAGAGACTGATACAACCACTGTGGAAAACAATATGGAATTTCCTCCAATCAGAAAGAATATATGCACCCCTATGTTCACAGCAGCACTATGTATAGTAGCCAAGATGTGGAAACAGCCCAAGTGCCCATCAGTAGATGAGTAGATAAAAAAGCTGTGGTCCATCTACACAATGGAATACGTGGTTGTAAAAAAGAAGGAACTCTTGCCTGGCCAGCATGGCTCAGTGGTTGATTCCCAGTCAGGGCACATGGCCCAGTTGTGGGCTTGGTCCCCAGTGTGGGGCATGCAAGAGGCAACCAATCAATGATTATCTCTCATTAATAATGTTTTTACCTTTTTCTCTTCCTTCCTCTCTGAAATCAATAATTTTTTTTTTAAAAGAAGGAACTCACCCTAGCCAGTTTGGCTCAGTGGATAGAGCATTGGTCTGGGAACTGAAAGGTCCCAGGTTCAATTCCCATCAAGGGCACACACCTAGGTTGTGGGCTCGATCCCCATGGGGGACTTGCAGCAGGCAGCAGATTCATGATTCTCTCTCATCATGGATGTTTCTATCTCTTTCTCCCTCTTCCTTCCTCTCTAAAATCAATAAAAATATGTTTTTGAAAAATTATAAAAGAAGGAACTCTTACCCTTTGTGACAGCATGGATGGACCTGGAGATTATTATGCTAAGCGAAATAAGCCAGTCAGAGAAAGACAAATACCATATGATCTCACTAATATGTGGAATCTAATGAACAAAATAAGCCGATGAGCAAAATAGAATCAGAGGCATAGATACATGGAACAGACTGATAAATGTCAGAGAGGAGGGATGGAGGGGACTGGATAAAAGGAAGTGAAGGGATTAGCTAAAGAACATATTTGCAGAGCCCATGGACACAGACAATGCCAGTAGTGCGGTGAGGGACAAGGGAGCGGGAGGTGGGGGTGGGAAGGGCTGAGTGGAAGTGGGCAAAGGGGAGAGGAATTGGGGGGCATCTGCAATAGTATCAACAATAATTTTTTTTTTAAAAGAAAGAAAGCAGGGAAGAAAGAAACATGACAAACACTACCCAGCCACATGATCAAGGTCAATTCCACCATGATAAGCCATGTTCATAGTATGTACCCTGGATATGATATGATGAGAATGGCCCATCACCTTTGTGATCTTTCTCCCAAAAATCCATAATCCCACTCTAATCATGAGAAAAACATCACCCAAATCCCAGCCAAGGATCATTCTACAAAATTCCTGATCAGTATCAAGGTCATCAGAAACAAGGAAAGTCTGGGAACCGCTCACAGTCTCCAGGAACCTACTTGGCAACCAAACGTACAATAGTATCCAGGATGAACTTCTGGACAGAGAAAGGACACTAAGTAAACACGAAGGAAATATAAATGCAGTATGGATTTTATTAATAATAATGTATTAATATCGGCTCAAATTGTAACAAATGTACTGTACTCATGCTAATCATAGAGGAAACTGGGTTGGGGAATATGGGAACTTTCTTCTATAAATTAAAACTATTCTAAAAAAAAATGAGGGTTTTTTTTGTGTGTGTGTTTTTTTAAGAGTCAGAAGGTTAAAAAAGATAGTCAATGAAAAGCCTCCCTTCCACCCTGATCAGCTGTTCATCTTTTTCCCAAGGAGATCGTCTAGTTCTTTCCAGGGAGGGCCCAGTGAGACCACAGGGGCTAGTGTTAGGAGACAGCCTCCTAACTGGCTCTCTCCCTTGACCTCTGTCTGCTGTTTTCCAGCTGTGTGACCTCCGGTAACTCCTGACCCTCTCTGTTCTGTGTCCTCCAAGATAAACTCCTCAAAGGATTATTGGGAGTGTTAAATGTACATAGTAAGCACCTTATATTGGTTGCTTCTATTATTACAAATACACATGCAAATATATTTATGCAACCAATATGTTAAGAGCCCTAGCCAGTTTGGCTCAGTGGCAAGAGTGTTGGCCTGTGGACCAAAGGGTTCTGGGTTGGATTCCGGTCAAGGGCACATACCTTGGTCACAGGCTTCTCCCTAGCACAGACCCTGGTCAGGGCTGGTGCAGGAGGCAACCAATTGATGAGTTTCTCTCACATTGATGTTTCTGTCTGTCTTTCCCTTTTTCTTCCACTCTCCCTAAAAATCAATGGGGAAAAAATATTCTGGGGCAAAGTTTAACAAAAAGCAAAACAAAACAAAACTAATTCAGCCCTGGCCGGTGTTTCTCAGTGATTAGAGCGTTGGCTCATGCACCAAAGGGTCTTGGGTTTGATTCCGGGTCAAAGGCATGTACCTGGTTTGCATGTACCCAGGTCAGGGTTCGTGTGGGAGGCAACCAAACCATGTGTCTCTCACAGCGATGTTTCTCCCACTCTCCCTTCTCCCTCCCTTCCTGAAAACATAAAGTGAGTAGCAAGTTGTATTTAACTAGTTAATGAGTGAACCATGGATGGGTCAAAGGAAGAAAGAAAAACCATTATTGACAGTCAGTGGAAAAAGAGAATGCTGGAATAAGATTGCAAAGTTGATACCTTGGAAAAAATATCCTCGGGTGAGAATTAACAACCAAAAAAAGAAAAGATAAATTCAAAACTTGTAAGTAAGGCACACACAAAGTTACTCAGTGCCCCTTCAGAGGTATTCCGGACCATTGGCTAATAACCCCACCTATGGGTCATCTAGGGGAAGTCTCTTGGTTTGACATACAAGTTCCTATTGATGGGGGCCCAGGCTCTGTAAAGTGAAGAGGGTTAACCTGTAAAAGATTGAAAAATAGCAAATCATTTTCATCTGGTTGAGGGGGGGGGAAAAACAGTTATGATCCTATTGCAAGGTGGGAATTAACTTTTTGTATCAACTTCACAATCTTATTCCAGCATTATTGTTTTCCCACTGACTGTCAATAATGGTTTTCATTTCTGCCTTTGAGCCATCCTGCTGGTTCACGCATTAACTAGTTAAATAAATCTTGGTACTCACTTTATGCTTATACTAGTCACGTGTAGCTCTGTGCAGACTTGACAAACAGTAGCATGCCATAGGCACTGTTCTACCCCTTGGCTATTTCTCACCCAAACATCTGGAAGACAGTTTCCTATCGGAGCATGAAGAGCTGCCAGGACACATCGTATGGGGGTACAGTAATGACACCCACATCCTTTAGCCTGTCCCCTGTAGACACGCAGGCTGTCTCCACTCTTATTGCAGCAAACAGTGTCGTGTGAAGGACCTCGTACGTCGGATGGCAGGCAGAAGGGGCTCTACAGGACAGGGAGCCCCTGGGAGGGGCTGATTCCCTGCTCCCAGTCCGGCCTAGCCCGCCTTCCCCTGGCTCTGTGCCTCCTTCTCCTGCATCCTCCTCTGCACCCTGAGCTCCCGGTACCGCCAGACAGGAAGGGCCAGCCTGCGATGCCCTGCAGGCCTGGGCTCCGGCTCACGCTGGCTGGGCGGTGAGGGCGCCTTGGAGAGGAGGATCTTGGGGACTTGAGGCTTGGGGCTGGGACCGGCCCTGGGCTGTAGCCACTGAGGGCACATACTCAGCACACCGGGAGGACTCTGGTAAGGGATGAGGACCCGGGGGGCAGGGACCACCTGTGGAGGTTGGGGGTCTGGGGGCGGGGGAGGAGCCGTGCCTAGCAGCTCTGGCACGGACTTGCTTCGGGTCCCCAGTGCAGGCGGGCGGTCCAGGCACAGAGGGTGGCAGGCAGTGGTGAGGAAGGGACTGGCCAGGCTGGTCGTGAGGGTCACAAGGTGGTCCAGGACACCCCCCTCCTGCGGAGACTGGGCAAAGGGGAGGCTCAGGGTGGCCTGGAGCCTCTCCAGGAGAGAGGGGGCGCCCTGGGCCTGGGCCTGGGCCACGAGCCGGGGCAGGGCCGGCCACTCTGGTCGGTAATGCTGGCTGAGCTGCTCCGCCCGGGGCTGCCGCCGCAGCTGCCGGATCCTGCGCACCGTGTCGAAGCTGTAGGTCAGCAGCGCCCACTCCAGGGCCGTCCTGCCCCGCACAGGGTCCACGGCTGTCAGGTCAGCACCTGGGAGGGCACGGGGTGGTGTGGGCTGGGACGGGGATGGGTGATTTGCAGAAGGGCACATGCTTCAGTAGCAGGATTCATTTGGGTTAAATTCCCACTCATCTTGTTACAGCTGGAATCTGGGAGTGGCTACAGCCCAGAGACCGGACCAGTCCCAGACCCAACCTCTGTTTGAGATGGTGAAGAAAACCGACGTGCAGAGAAGGGGAAAGACTTCAGAGGGACGTGTTGGGGGTCTCCAAACTAGAACAGAATAGGGGCTCCTGAACCAAGGGACTGACCAGAGGGGTGGTGTGCAGGGGGTGGAATGGGGGGAGTGGGGGGGGAGTCCTGCTGGTCCTTCTTTGCATCAATGAATGTCGTTAATCCTGGGGGGTAGCAAATACTCTGAGTCAAAGATGGGGTGCAGAGCTCCCTCCCTTCACCCCGAAACCCAATCTGATGGAGGGGAAGGGAATGCTGCAGGCTGGGGTCCCCGGAGTTACCACCAGAGGACAGCTCCCCTGGGGGAATGAGAGCTCACAGTGTGGGCTTCGCTCCCGAACCCCACGCAGCCAGTCTCTGTGCGTCACTGCGATCCTGGAACCCGCTGCTCAGAGCTCCATCGCGGAGACGGCCTGGCAAGGCCCAGAGGGAGGCCGCTCAGCTGGAGGCAGAGCCCGGCGAGGCAGAGCCGGGTGAGGAGGTGAGCGCTGCCTCCGGTACCAGCCTACTGAGTTTTAGGTCTCCGGTTGGTCTAACTGTCCTCTCCTCTTCTTCCCTGGGACTTCCATTAACTATGTAAACAGCTATCTATAGCTGGACTTCACTGTGAGAAGCCCGCCCCCCTCCCCGCATCCAGGAAGCCAGCCTAGATTGCTCCTGGTCACCACCTCTCTCCGCTGCTCCGCAGCTAAGACAGCTGACTCAGTGCCTGTGGGTGCCTGGGGAGGGGCAGGAGCCCGTGGATCCAGGTCCACGCAGGCCACGCACCTGCCATGAGGAGGGCAGCCACGCAGTCCGCGCGGTCCCGCAGCGCGGCCTTCATCAGCGCCGTCAGCCCCCGCTGGTCCCGGCGCTCCAGGTCCAGGCCCGCGTAGTAGCCGAGCAGGAGGCTCACCAGGGGCGCGTGGCCTGCAGAGCGGGAGGCAGATGGGGGACCCCAGGAAAGGGGTGGTGAAGCCCCACCCCCCTCCACCCAGCACCGCGGAGCCCGGGGTGGGAGCCGGCCCTGCGGGGGGGGAGGGCGGGGCTGGCAGGGGGGTCAGAGCCTCCCACCTGCCTGGGCGGCCAGCATGAGGGCCGTGTCGCCTTCTTTGTCCTGCTGGTTCACGTCCAGGAACGGACAGCGGCTGAGCAGGGCCACGACGCTCCCGAAGCCGCGGGAGCACGCCACCATGAGGCCTGTCTGGGGCAGAGCCGCTCAGCCTGTGCTTCCCCAGGCGCTCCTGGCGCCTGTGCCCGCTGAGCCACACGGTCCCAGAGACGCCCTGCCTGAGGCCGCCCTCCCGCTCCCTCCTTCCCGAGGCCGGGCAGTGTGCTGCGCGGCCCTCCCAGGGGAGTGTGTGGGACCCAGAGCTGCCTGGGAGGCACCGGGCTGGCTCACCCTCCCGTTGCCGTCCGCCTGGGCGGCCTCCTCCGGGGACACCCCGGCCTCCAGCGCAGCCTGCAGCTGGGCAGGGTCGTTGCGCACACAGGCCCAGTACAGGGCGCCCAGCCTGCGGGCCGGGGCCGGGGCCTCACTGTCCGGGCAGGACGGTGCCTCAGACATGCCCGGTGCCCCTCCCTGGCAGCTCTTCCTCCTCCGGCCTGGGGGCAGAAGCCAGTCCCCCCTCTGAGCGCAGCTGACACCTGTAACACAGAATGGAGGGTGCAGGGAGGGGCTCGCCAGCTGCAAATCTCCCAACGCTTGCCGGGGAGGGCCTTATCCCACTGGGTATCCAGTCCCATCCAACCTTTGAGGGAAGACAAGTGGGAGCAGGGAGGACAGGTGGAGGCAGGGAGCACACATGAAGGAGGGGAGACAGGTGGGGGCGGGGAGGACAGGTGGAGGCAGGGAGCACACATGAAGGAGGGGAGGACAGGTGGAGGCGGGGACAACAGTCTCTGCTGGGCTCTCAGCATCCCCCGGGCTCCTGGGAGCACTCACCAGTCTCCGAAGCGGGAGTGGACCCTCTCTCCCCAGGAAGCACGCAGGTGACAGATGGCTGCACCTAAGCTGGATCAGGCGGATAAGTAAGGATGGGGCCAGAGGGGCGGGCTCTCCTCCCAGGGACAAGCCCCGCCCCCAGTCCTGCCCCGGGTGGGCGGGGTCACCTCGGCGGCTCCTCCCCGCGGGGCGGCTCTGAGAGGCGGACCCTCCTTCCTCCAAAGGCCTCACCTCCACCTCCAGGGAGACCGGCTGCCGGACACAGATCTGGAAGATGGAAGAAGTCCCTGTGCCTGCGGCAGAGTGTGACTGATGAGGTCGCGGTGTGAGGGTGGACATCTCCCTAAAAGGGGCTGACCCTGGGGAGGGCAGGCAGGGCTCCCGGAGTCACCTGGACCTATTTGCTTAAGTTCTGGGGAAATTAAAACGTAAAGAATTGCCTAATTAGGACCAGAGACATTATGACATATTAACTTTAATGGAATAGTTTTAGTGGGGTAAATTAAGTATGAAATATTTAAGTTGTATTAATAGTAAGATACATTAATTTAATTATTCAAATTAAGTTACTTATAATTATGCGTTCGTTTAATAATAAATTATTCTTCAAAGTAATATTGACATTAAAGGTAATGGTTTGGTTTGGTTTGAGACCTCAGGTGTAGACACGTGAGCCAATCCTACCTATTCCTCTGTTCTACCACTCCCAGTATGTAGTTTATTTCTTTTTTTTTTTCTTTTTTAAATATATTTTATTGATTTTTTACAGAGAGGAAGAGAGAGGGATAGAGAGTTAGAAACATCAATGAGAGAATCATCAATCAGCTGCCTCTTGCACTGGGGATGTGCCCACAACCAAAGTACATGCCCTTGACCGGAATCGAACCTGGGACCTTTCAGTCCCCAGGCCGATGCTCTATCCACTGAGCCAAACCGGTTTGGGCAATTTATTTCTTTTATTCCTGGTTTCCATAGCTCATTCCCCTGCTACTTTTCTTTACCAATTGGCACATATATCTTTGAAACTGTACATTTCATTGAGAAACATGGTATTGATTATGCATGTTTTAACTCACACCTTAGAGTTATGTGGCATTGGCTTTTACTCAAGGCTGTGCTTTCAAGACCTGTTGCCCTCTGTGCAGTGTTTCAGGAAGGAGTGCCTTTGGTCGTGAGTAACCCAAAGCTGACCTCACGGTGTGGTGGCTGCCCTGGACTGGCTGCTCCACCCGAATCAAAACTCCTTTCGGTGTTTCTCCTGAGCTGCTGAGCTGGAAAGCCAAACCACTTCCCAGATTCCCTGGAGCGAGGAATCCGTGATTTAGGTTCTGCTCTTGTGCAAGGCATAAATTTAGAACAGCGCTGAATAGCCTGGGACATCCGTTTTGCTGTCACACATCACCACAGATGCTGGGGGCTCTGGTGAGCCGCTTCCTGATTCGTCAGCTTCCTGCCGTGGTGAGTGCTGCTTTCCTGATCGCACGCACACGGGTCATGTGCCTCTCAGGGCTGGACGCTGCTCCTGGACCTAGAGCCTGCTTCTCCATCCTTTTCTGCTTAAATGAGCCAGGTTTACTTCTGACGTCTGCAGCTGAGCCCTATCTGAGCCAAGTGACGTGAACAAATAGAGGTTTATTCTTCACACAAGATAAAAATTCGTGGGTCAGGGTCTCGTCTGGGGATCTGTTGACTTTTCCTCTCGTGGTCACAAAAAGGCTACTGAATCTCTTCCAATCCCAGTAAGATGCGGTGAATTCTATGCAGTAAGATGCTGTGAGTTCTGTGCAGCATTTGGGAGAAATCTACAAGGTTGTGTGTTAGTCATCGCTGATTAAGTATGCAATCCCTATTTATAACCTCCCTTCTCGCCAGTCACCTTTTAGTTACGTGTGAGCATGTCACACAGTTTTGGCCAATGAAATGCAAGCAGCTGGGCGAAGCTCCTGAAAACACCTTGCTGTCCTAATAAAAGAAGCGGGACCTACTTTTTCCCCTCTTTCTCCCCGCCCCGCCCTTCTTCCTTCTGCATTGAATCCCATATGTGCACCCACACATTTTACTTACCTACCTTTTCGTGAAGGACACCTAGCTTGCCTCCAACTTCCTGCCTCTACCAGTAGTGCTGCAGTGAACATTCTTGTGCATGTCTAGTTGCGGGCCTGCAGGAAAGCCTTTCTGAGGTTGCTGGGTCATCGGGCCCAGACCTGTTGTTGACCAGGTACTGCCAGGTTGCTCTCTAGTGTGCACTCCCTGCTGGTATGTCCACACCAGCTCTGAGTGCATAAACGTCTCCCTACATCCCAGCCAACACTTGTAATGATTGGGCCATCTCATTTTTATCCATCTGATGGCGCAGAACTATAAAGTGGTACTGCTATTTTTCATTGGGTTTTTCTGGTTATCCACACGATGGGCATTCTCCACATACCTGGTAGCCATTCTTATTTCCTCTCCTATGAATTGCCTGTTCATAGCCTATGTTTCATGTTCTATTGGATTTTCCTGTTTTTAAATTTTTATTTTTCAGGAATTCCTTTTAATATTCTAGATGATAATTCCATTACCAGGTTTAAATGTGGCAACAGTGCTATCAACCGTTCTGTTAGCTTTACCTGGGATGATCTTCGTTGGAAGAAATCCTGAATTTTTTATGTGGTTAAATTCATCAAAATCCCTCCTTATACTTTATGCTTTTGGGTCTTGTTTAAAAAGAGTTTCCCACTCCAAGGTCACAAAGATCTCATTTCTTTTTATTAATTTTACAGTTGTATTTTACTCTTTAGTCTTCAATCCGTCTAGAATTTACTTTCATACATGGTGTGAGCAAGGGATCTGTTATGGGCTGAATTGTGTCCCCCCCCAATTCATACATTGAAACCCTAACCCTCCAATGTGACTGTATGTGGAGATAGGGCCTTTATGAAGATTCTTAAAATTAAGTGAGGTCAGATGGTGGGGCCCTGATACCATAGGACTGCTGTCATTTTAAGAAAAGGAAGAAACACCAGAGGGCGCACTCACCCCCCCACCATGTGAACATAGTGGAAAGACCATGGCATGGCATGGTGAGAAGCAGCCATATACACGCCAAGAAGAGTCCTCATCAGACACCAACCCTCTGGCACCTTGACCTTGGACTTCTAGCCTGAAGAATTGTGATAAAATAAATTTCTGTTGTTTAAGTCATCCCATATTTGGTATTTTGTTATGGCAACAAGACTGAATTTCAGATGTAGATATAGATGAAATAGATATAGATATAGATATAGATATAGATATAGATATAGATATAGAGAGATACAGATACAGATATATAGATATATAGATATATAGATATATAGATATATAGATATATAGATATATAGATATATAGATATATAGATATATAGATATATAGATATATAGATATATAGATATATAGATATATAGATATATAGATATATAGATATATAGATATATTATAGATATATGGATATATAGATATATGGATATATGGATATATAGATATAGATACATTTCAGAAAGGAAGGAAGAGGGAGAGATATAAACATCAATGATGAGAATCATTGATCAACTGCCTTCCACATGCTCCTCACTGGGGATGGAGCCCGCAACCTGGGCATGTGCCCTTGACTAGAATGGAACATGGGACCCCCACCCCCAAGTCCGCAGGTCCAGGATCTATCCACTGAGCCAAACCTGCCAGGGCAAAACTGAATTTCTTTTTTTTTAAATAAATCCTTGCCGAAACCAGTTTGGCTCAGTGGATAGAGCGTTGGTCTGCGGACTGAAGGGTCCTGGGTTTGATTCCAGTCAAGGGCGTGTACATTGGTTGTGGGCACATCCCAGGCGGGGGGAATGCTGGTCAATGTACCTCTCTCGTCGATGTTTCTAGCTCTCTATCCCTCTCCCTTCCTCTCTGTGAGAAATCAATAAAATATATTTTTAAAAACATAAATAAAAAATAAATCCTTATTGTTGAAAGTATTATATATGTCCCCTCCCCCCAATTAACCCTCCTCCAGCCCAGCCCACCCCCACTGCAGGCCTTCAACACACTATTGTCTGTGTCCATGGGTTATGCACGTATGCACACAAGGTCTTTGGCTGATTACCTCCCACCCACCCACCCTCCCTCACCTCCGAGATTCCTCACTCTGTTCCATTTTTCCATGTCTCTGGATTCACTCCGTTCATCAGTTTATTTTTTTAATTACTAGTAGATTCCACATATGAGTGAGATCATGCGATACTTGTCTTTCTCTGACTGACTTACTTCACTTAGCACGATACTCTCCAGGACTCTTCCTGCTGTCTCAAAGGGTAAGAGATTCTTCTTTTTTACTGCTGCATAGTATTCCATGGTGTAAATGTACCACAGCTTTTTTACCCACTCATCTACTCATTGGCACTTAGGCTGTTTCCAGATCTTAGCTATTGTAAATTGTGCATACAGTCTTTCTGATTGGTGTTTTGGGGTTTCTTAAGATATATTCCTAGAAGTGGGATCACTGGGTCAAATGGCAGTTCCAAATTTAATTTTTTGAGGAAACTCCATACTGTTTTCCATAAAGGCTGCACCAGTCTGCATTCCCACCAGCAGTGCACTAGGGTTTCCTGTT